GACCCGACGGGCTTTTTGAACAGGCCTAGTGGTATCCACTAGAGGTGAGTTCATTTCTCACTAGTATTTTTATAATATGAAATTGCATGAGTGCTATATCTGATTGATTTTGTGCTCGAAAAATAAATAATCTACTATTTTCATGTATACAAAGTTAAATGTGATCCGATCTATTTTTATTGTGGACTAACCCATAATATGATTTTAATTTCATGCAATATATTAAAAGTAAATTTCATTGACCCGACGGGCTTTTTGAACAGGCCTAGTGGTATCCACTAGAGGTGAGTTCATTTCTCACTAGTATTTTTATAATATGAAATTGCATGAGTGCTATATCTGATTGATTTTGTGCTCGAAAAATAAATAATCTACTATTTTCATGTATACAAAGTTAAATGTGATCCGATCTATTTTTATTGTGGACTAACCCATAATATGATTTTAATTTCATGCAATATATTAAAAGTAAATTTCATTTCTCATAAAATGTGATAAGCATTTTGGTTTCATCCAATCTCAATTAATTGTGAATAATGCTTTATTTGAAAGCTTTGAAGAAAAGAAGTAATTGAATGAGTTTCAATTGTTTATGGATTCAAAGATTTTGTCTTGGTCTTTGATAAAAATAGATAAAATGAAATATATAAACTATTTTAACTTAGATGATGAGATTTTTACGCTTGTCCATTTGATCTAAAGTATTTATATTTTTGATAAGTGAACATACCTATATTATTTTCGACGCAAATGACACGTATTGAAATTAAAGTGATTTGATGAGTGACGTGTTTTTGGAAAGAAGCAATTTGATAAGTGGTGTGTTTTGAAATTAAGTAATTTGACAAAGGATGTGTTTCCAAAATCAAGCCTTTTGACAAGTGATTCTCGATGTTTTTAAAACCCTCAGAAAGTCCACAATGGAATGATTTGTTTGTGTCTGCTATATGGTTTGAAGGCATCTTTATGTGGCCTTTTTTAGGCATTTACAATGTGGCCCTTTTTGGTTATTTTTGATGTGGCTCTTTTTTGGGCGTTTGTGATGTGGTCGACAGCCTATGCAGTATTAGGTGCATTTTGGTCGACTATATGTTATGTGAAGTCTTTTGGCATTCTCATGCTGTTGGGTTTTAATTCGTAGCCTTAATATGACCTATGAGGTGATTCTTACATTTCATGAACGACTCATCGAGATTTGAGATTCTGACATTTGACTGTGAACTTTAAAAAATAACAATCTTTAGGTTTTGCACATATTTAATAGTTCGTTTTCTTTCTTAGTATTTATCTTGCTTTCAAAAGAGTTTGATTTTGTAATAGATTACAATATATTCAGTTTGCACATAACAAAGAAATCTAAAAAGTTGTATTCTTAAATAAAAAAAATAGTGTTGTTCTTGGATCATATTTTGCTATCTTTTTAGAATTTCCAATGCAAGACTTATAATTCATTATTTCTTTTGGATATTATTATTTTATTAGATATCTAGAAACTCTAGTGGGAAATGTTATCACTGAGACCTAGCTCACCCCGTCATTTTAAAAAAAAAATCAGATCTGAGATAGCTACGTAATAAGCCGAACTTTTGGTTGTGGCGCATTGCTAAGATGCGTTTATATGGAAAACCCCTCCGTTGGTGTTATGTACAACCAAGAATGTGATTTATAATGTAAAATATTGTAATGAGGAGCGTTTGTGATTCTAAGTGCTATATATATATATATAGTATAATATTATATATATATATATATTATATATATATATATATATATATTAATATATATATATATATAATATATATATATATATATTATATATATATATGAGAGAGAGAGAGAGAGAGAGAGGTGAACTTATGTCAACCTAAATGGACAAAAGCATTTGTCCACCAACTTCTATCCGTATTATAATCATATATATATATAATATATATATATACTATATAGTATTATATTATATATATATGAGATTAATGGGTATCCTTGTCATAGGAGGATTTCTCCTTGACGCCTCTAAAATCACATGAATTGAGCGCATGCTGGATGATCCGTTCGTTGAACTTGATCTATATATTCTAAAACCCTAACATACCAAGTTTGGGGTGAAACCCGTTCGTCGTTGACCCTCCATCGAGCCTGTGAAAGATTCTATTCATTCAAAACCGGTTAAATTGATACGAGTGGATGAAGGGTCAAACGACGACGGGTTCACCCCAAATTGGTGTGTAGGGCTTTTTAAATATGGTAGATCAAGTTCAACGGAGCGGATCATTCCACAATGTCGCTCAATCATGGTGATTTTAGAGGCACAAGGAGAATCCTCTCCTATGACAAGGATACCCATTATCTCTCTCTGCTTCTATGCTCTCTCTCTCTCTCTCTCTTATAATGATAATATATATATATTATATATTATTATATATAATATATAGGAGAGAGAGAGCGTGAACTTACTGTCAACGTAAATGACAAAAAGATTTGTCACCATAACTTTTCAGATCCGTATATATATATACTAGTATATATACTAATATACTATATATATCTATATTATATATATATATATAAATAGATCATACTATAAAGTTCTTTCATATCATTGCATGGCATCCCTATATATCATCAATTTTGTGATGGCTCCACTTAAGTTACACAAGTTCTCCCTCTCCCCCTTCCTCCCCCCTCTCTCTCTTCTCTCTCGTTCCTCTCTCTCTCTCTCTCTCTCTTCCTATATATCATATATACTATATATATATATATATATAGTATATACTATATAAACTATTACTTCTACGTTCAGCAAGTTTATATATTTTCATTAGAAAAGTTATGTGATATGAAGTGACAAGCTTAACTCGTGCACGAACTTGTCTTGTGCATGGATCGCTACTGTCGCTTAACCCGTATTTATAAATTTTCGTTGCAGTTTCAAGGCATGACAAAAGAAAATGTTGATGGACACACACACACACACACATATAAATATATAGCTCTAAACTTCTATCATCAGCAGGTTTATATATTTTCATTAGAAAAGTTGTGATATAAAGTGGCAGGCTTAACTCGTGCACGGACTCGTCTTGTGCATGGATTGCTACATTCGCTTAACCCGTATTTATAAATTTTCGCTGCAATTTCAAGGCATGACAAAAGAAAATGTTGATGGCCACCTATTTCATTAGAGGGGAAAAAAGCCTCTTAAGATAGTGGTTGGGAACTTGAGATAACCAGAATAAGTGTAATTAAATCAGGATTGAACCCAATTTGGCAAATAATTGGACCAGGACTTTACCAGATTTTGTTAGGCCAAATTTGGCCAAATACTAAATTAAGCTAGTTCTGGATTAGTCCTCAAGTTGCCAAACTGACCTTAAAGATTGTTTGGTGTTTTCTCAAATAAGATTTTCTGTAAATACCTGAGCTAATTCCTCAATGGTGATGACTCTATTTCCCTCTTGCTCAAAATGATCATAGGCTACACTGGCAATTTGCTCCCATCCTTCCAAAGCTTCTAAATGATAAGGGCTGATTGCAGCAGCGCAGAATTCATCAAAACTCATTCTTTTGTTGGAGAGAGGCTCCAGCTGTAATGCAAAAGCAAAAAATTACTTAAGTGTAATTTTTTTTAATATTATCATTTGTCAATAGGTCTCATCGTGTTTTAACCATGTCGGCATATTTGTGTTTGCGCAACATAGATACATCATGTAGGAAAACCTTACCTTCTAAATTCCATACTTCTGCTTTACCATTTTACTTTTCAAACAGTAGAAGATAAAGGTTAACAAAGAGACGGTTTATGATATTTATTTTATGGAATCACCTCCTACGCTGATTTAAAGTCCCCCTCTCTCGCACTTTTATCGACAAACAAGAGGAAATAATCAGCATATGTTTTCCCAAACAGTGGCTTTTAACAGTATTTTAATGAAAATGATCACTGCACATGACAATTTTAAACTTAGACCCTTCATATATGGCCACACCTGCTGCAACCTAACAGGAAATTCAGGTGTATATTAAAAAAAAAATTCAATGTTTATAACATTTAAGAGCGGGTGTGAACAGTTCTCTGCTGAAAGACTCACAGGTCACATTCGTTGTGATATTTTTACACACTAAAAATGTAAATTATGAGGGGAAAACATAATATTCAAGAAACTAATTAATGCTTCATGGAACACAATAATAAGATGAAAGATAAACATAAACATTAAAAAAGTTCAAATACAGTTGTAGGTGTCGCACCACATTTAATATGTCAGGAACCTTCGACAATTGCATTGCCTCTGTAGCATTTTTCAACAGTACCTGCATTGAAGTCACATTAAGTAACAGCTAGACACAGAAGAGGTAGGACGTTGTTTCACAAATATAGAGAAGTAGATTGAGGCACATAGCATAAGCTACGATATCAAGATTTAAATTATGATGAAGAAAAAAGGCACTAGTTTTTTATGGCACGGTTAGATCACAGAAGGATAAATTGACAGCATTGCAAATATTTTGGATGTATTTTTCGTTTCAGTACCAAATTGGACATATGACATATCACTGGATATCTCTTGAATAAATTTAGAAGATCCATTCCTAAGACATTCTATATCACTGGATATCTCTTGAATAAATTTAGAAGATCCATTCCTAAGACATTCTTGAGCATTGACTTTGCGAAATTTAAATTTAGAAGATCCATTCCTAAGACATTCTATATTATATATATTAGTATATACTATATTATATAGAAATATAGAAAAATATGGAGAAACTTGTCACAGTTTCTCCATTGAACTTGGGTAGTGAGGTGGCCAATCCCACCCTAATCACACCTTGAAGAGAGAGCATCATCCTATTCACCTCACTTTTAAAAAATGCGTCAATTTTCAGGTGTGATGAGGTGATTTGGCACCTCACTACAGTTCAATGCAAGAATTGGCTACCAGGTTTCTCCATATTGGCTCAATTATAATATATATATATTCATATATATTATATATATTATATATATATATACAACCACCACACGCACCAATCTGGACATATGATCATATCACTGGGGATATCTCTTGAGATAAATTTAGAGACAATTCTAAGGACATTCTGGCATTGACTTTGCGAATTTTACTATTATTATATATTTATATATATAAATATATATTATATATATATTGATTATATTATTATATATATATTATAAATAGTATATATATATATATATATATATAGACACCCACACCCACACACATATATATACCACACTAACACACACACATATATATATATACAACACACATATATATATATATATATATGAGAAAATTAGGTTATGGTACCAGCATAATTTTGGGTTAGTAGGAGGTGTCTCATTCCATCACTCATTCATTAGGGGGCACCACATTAACCATGTGATGTGATCCCCCATTGAGATTGAAGTGATGAATATGCCATCTCACTACCAAGGCACAATTTTGTGTTGTACCAGAATACCCATATTCCTCTCTCTTCTCTCTTCTTCTTCTCTCTTCTCTCTCTCTCTCTCTCTTCTTCTCTCTCTTCTCTCTTATATTATACTATATATATATATATATATATATTATATATATAATATATTATATAATATATATATAGTTATATATTATAATAGTAGCCCTGGTTTGACCGTAGAAGAATGAATTAACATCATTGTAATATTTTGGCTTTTTATGCTTTTGATGTCAAATTTTGAATATACGACCAATTATTGGACAACTCTCAAGATATATACATGCCAGTGTAAACAGTTTACCCTGTTATATAAGAAAAAATAGTACATCCCCTGCATTTTGAAATGGAAAATACAAATTCCACTGTAAGTGGGCAAAGTCAAACATGTGACCTCCTAATGGGAGGAAATATGACACTACCTAAGCAATGTTAATTGATTAAGTTGTGTTAACTTGTGCTGTTACTACGTAGAACTTTGGTGTTATTTTGATCTCTTTCTTTTTCTTTTTCTGTTTCTTTTTTTTTTTTTTTTTTGGAGACTCAGTTTGGTTAATTTTTGAAACTCACATTTTGGCATGTACTATTCCTAGTATTTAACTGCTTTCTATCAAATGAGTAAGTAAACTGTGACAAGTCTCCTATTTTTTTGTTGATACAAAATGAAAAATCCAAGTTTTTTTTTTTTTTTTTTTGGAGACTCAGTTTGGTTAATTTTTGAAACTCACATTTTGGCATGTACTATTCCTAGTATTTAACTGCTTTCTATCAAATGAGTAAGTAAACTGTGACAAGTCTCCTATTTTTTTGTTGATACAAAATGAAAAATCCAAGAAAACTAAGGGAAAGAATAACAAGATCTGCTCACCATCCGGAAGTTCTCAAATGAGATGCACCCATCTTTATTTGGCTCTAACAACTTAAACTGGGACCTAAGATACAAAAGCTCATCCTCTGTTACAGCTTTGGATAGGGCCTGCACATGAACAGTAGTAGGTAAATAGAATCAAACAAACAACTTATACACACATGACTTATACCAAAAGGTTTAGATGTAATGACATCAGCAAATGTCATTTCTATGAAAATATTATTATAAATGGCATTTCACTCTCTCCCCCCATCTCAACTTCCCTTTCCTACTTCATCCCTACCTCTCATTTAAAATTGAAAAATATTAATTTTTTTACTCTATTAAAACTGAAATGAAAACTATTATGACATTTCACTATCTCCCCACATCTCAACTTCCCTTTCCTACTTCATCCCTATCTCTCATTTAAATTGAAAATATTAATTTTTTTTACTCTATTAAAACTGAAATGAAAACTACAACAAAATAACCTATAAAAACTAGAAAGTTACGGAAGGTAATTTAGAAAGAACGGATCTGAAAAATAATAAATGTTTCTTAATTCATTAAACCTATAAATAAACAATTAGACAGACTATAGAAACATGTATTACATTGAAAATTGTAAAAATAATTTTGACTATTAACTTTCTTGCGAATGGTTCTGTTAAAATAAATGAATATCTTTTCGAAAACGCATAAATGTATATATATCATTCTTCTCCTTAAGAAAATCACACCAATAAATTACAGCATCACAAGTTAAAAGTATGCGAAAATTTTGATTCGGAGTCCGCAAATCTCGTAGTCCCAGTATACCCCTAATTAAAAGTTCAAACTTCTATGGATTCTTTTCATGTCATGTGCATTCGCACGTGCCTAATTTTGTAGCCTAGGATCTAAGTTGCATGGATACAGGTATAGATACCAGTACAAGTGTGGGTATGGGTACGGGACAATGCAAAATTGTAAAATGAGGGTACATGGACACGGCTACATACATATATTGAAATTAATATATTACATGAGATCATTATTGTTTCTCAATTCATGTGTTATTAGAATTAAAATTCCTATCACATTTTTAAGTTTCTTCTATTATGTTGATTGGTAAAAGTTGGAAACTACTCATTTTTGAACTCAACATTCAAACGACCATTAAGATCAGTGTTGAACTTGTGTGTTGGCTGGAAATTTCCCGGCCCCTGTCCAACAAGTTTCAAGAAATGGATGTGAAGTGTAGGATATACGTCTAAGAAGTGTATGACAAGTGTTTTAAATTAAAAAATATATCATATAATTGAATACATGTTTGAATAAATGTATGCATATATCCACAGAATGTCCATGAAGTTTGTGTACAGGAACGTGTCGAGTACGGATACAGCTTCATGGGTAACATAGCTTAGGATAAAGACTTTGTTGTGTTGATGTAAGTTAACCAAGAACCATACACAAAATTATGTCCAGATAATAGCTTCAGAGCAAATAGTGGATTTAGATTGCATATAAGATATCCTTACAAATAAAAAATGCTGAAGTAAGTAAATGCTTCCATCATTTGCCTACTCAAAGAGAATACAACACCAATTGAAAATTTTAAGGGATAGCACATCTACAAATTTTTAATAATTTTTTCCAGTATTTTATGAACAGGTAAGGGAAAATTAGGATCTAACTTCAACTGATGATCCACTTGAACATTATATACCTTTAGTGCTGCGCGTTTGAGAGGTGTAGCACGAAGATATGATTTGAGCAGCTTAAAAATTAGTATATCTAGTGGGATTTTCCGCTGCTCATCTCTCAACCATGGATGATCTGCCATCACATTTCGAATAGACATTGGCGTTAGTTTAGTTCAAAAGTAGAAATGCCATGAAGTAATAAGAATTTTTTTGTAACGACGACATATCCAATTTAAAGCATAAAATATTTAGAGATGGAACTCTCAACTCACTTAGAGCCTGTGCTGCTGTCATTCTTTTCCTGTAGTCCTTGTTTAGAAGCCTTCTAACAAAATCCTTAGCCTCTGCAGATACAGCAGGCCAAGGTGAATCATCAAAGTTAGGGTCCGCCCTCAACACTGAACGAAATATTCCTGATTCTGTCCGTGCCCAAAAAGGTCTGCTACCACATAGCAGGATATATGTTATTACACCAATACTCCATATGTCTGCTTCCGTACTGTATGATCTATGCAGGACCTCAGGTGCAACATAATACGCACTTCCAACAATATCATTTAATCGCTCATCTGCAAAAGAAATGCCAACAATCATAACATTATACCAAACTTCAACTTTTACATTGCAGCTGAAGAACATGAAGAAAGCACTTTCAGACATGCAAAACAAGGCTTTCTACTGGACGGAGAATTGAAAATTAATTAAAAATGGTTTACAACAGTTGATTTTGAAATTTGCATTCAAGTGAGTTTTTTAATATTATAAAAACCCAGAAGAAAGCACGTAACTTTTGAAGTTCAGAATTCTGTTTTTCCAACTCAAAAGGAGCCTTAGCTTTACAATGACAAAATGAGAAATGAAGATCATTTTTTATACTATTATGATAGGAATATCCTGCTACACTTTATAAGTAGGAAACTCATGGTTTCCTTCTTTGCTTTCCAATGAGGGTTAAAAGCATTGTCTTCTCAGAACAGGCTATTACTTCTTAAATGGGAAGAAGGCACGGTTAAGTTTCAAGTAAGAAAAGGTAGTGATTATCCCTGAGTACCTACAAACTTGGAATAGCCAGAATCATATTAGAGATGCCTTGATCTGGCCTATGAGCCAAGCCTAAAGAGGAGACCTGACAGCATGTGGGTTGGGCCCAAGCAACAATGGACAAGTATTCTTGTGGGCTATTGGCCGAGGCCAATATACCTATTGTAGGGATCTGGTGTCTAGACTAGTGGTCTCAGCATCCCTCTTTAGAGCTGTAGAATTCCAACCATGTCAAACTGCACAATCTGATGTACCTTCTAACTTCTATCCCCTATAAGTAGCACAATTAATGAATCAAAGAAAGCAGAAACATGAGGCTACTCGCATTTTTGCAAGCCTCTAACTTAGACATCAAAGGGTTTTGGATCCTTACAAACTATGCATAAATATACCGTCTGAAACCTGACTGCCAAACAGAGAAGTAAACAGTTGGAGTTGATTAACAGAGACGAAAACAGTTGTCTGTAGAAAACCGCGGTGAACCAAAATCTAATGAAACATTCCAGTCAACCTCCAATCCTACACCTCTGATTAACCTAACACACAGCATCACACCTCAGGGGGAAAATGGTATATTGATCTATCACTTGTAGTGTTGCCGTGTTGGTAATTACCAGCTCTGTTACATGGTGAGCCCTTACCACATAATGGAGTTGTGTTAAGCCATGTGAGGATTAGCCATTCTATGTCAGACATAGTATCAAGGTAGGAAGTCTGATGGTCAGTCTCAAGGTTGAGGTTCCAGAGGCTGTGTATTGCTTCTGTTCATCGAAAATGAGTAAACTTTAAGATTCTTGATTCCACTAGTTACCAAAATCAATCATGCATGAAGATTTCTAGCAGGAAACAAAAGATTTGAAATATAGACTTTATTTTTATTATAAATCCCACAAGAATCTAAAATACATACCCAGTCATGACAGCACAAGGTAATGTATCTCTGTAGAAGTGTTGAAGAAACAGCAACAGCAAAGGAGAATGATAATCGAGAGGAGAAATGAACCATCTCCTCACTAAACATCGTTCAAGTATATATATGAAATGAAGAATGGGTTTAAGCAACTTTAGTGAAAGCTAAAAACTACTAATATTTAACATGTTATTTATAATCATTAAGACATATAAAGTCATAGCAGAAGTTCAGAAGTTCAGATATCCAAAGTTTTTCGTAAGGTTCAAACAGTTACCTGGTCTAATAAAATCAGAAAGTCCAAAATCAATAAGCTTCATAGGAGAACTTTCCTCTTTACTGGTGAAGAGAAAATTCTGTTAACAGTCCAAGAAAAAAAAAAGGTTTCAGCAAGATATAGCCAACACCATGGTGTGTTGGGATCCTAAAACAAATTACTTAATAATATGAAGGTTACATTGAACTTTGTGACTATACCTCTGGCTTTAAATCCCGATGCACAACACCTTGAAGGTGACAGAAGGCAACCACACTCAAAATCTGAACAACAATTGCTTTTGCATCATCCTCCATGTACCTTCCTCCCCTTCCGAAATTAGAGGACAGCATAATTCATTAGAACTCCTTGATCGAATGATGAACGGATGTGTACACATCCATATAACACGCTTAAGTATAAATGTTTACCTGGCCAAAATTCTATCTAACAATTCTCCGCCTTCACATAATCTGACAGGGAAAAAAGAAAATATATGTAATTAATATATACGTATTGAATCAGGTAATGCCAAAATACTAAAAAGATATTTCTTTTCAGCAGTCACCATTACAATTGACAGTTTCAAAATGTTTTCAGTTGCATTAAACCTACAAGCTAGATCGTTTTGTTTTAAAATGGATTTGTTTGATCTGAATTCACAATAGTTAATTTGCTAAAAATATAACATCTTCTGCTCTAAAATCGTAATGCTCATTTGACATTGGAATGGAGCATAGCCATAAGGATCCTAGTTACAAAAGTCAAGAAAACAAATTTATACAGTTTCTGTTTACGTCACAAATAAAAGAACATGATGTCAAGCTCATGCTATATGACACCCTGTCATAAACGTATACCAATCTCGCAAGATGAATGATAAAGGAAACGTCGCAAGTAAAAAGAATTTGGACATACTCCATGACTATATAGACATTTGTGGCATCTTCACATGCATCATAAAATTTGACAAGATTTTTATGCCCAGACAAAGCTTTCAGGATTTTCACCTCCCTCCTTACATCTTCTATTGCAATAGTTGTCGTCATCTGCAAGAAAATATTAGTGAATTAAACAATGTCGCTGCAATAAAGAGTCATTTCCAAACTTCTTTTATCCCAGAGTAGCTTAGAAAGAAAATATACAATTACATGCTGACAGACAAACCAAAACAGGATTCTCGTGTTTAGAGTCTAAAACTGCCAATGCTTTTAAAAACTAAAACATTGACATAGTGTCACCAATCTTAGTGTTGATCTCTGTTACTTGGGTAATTTTATCATGAAGCTGTACACATACCCGACACTTCCCGTACCCATACCTAACACTTCTTGGGCACTCCTTACATATATATATACATGTTTTATTTAAACATTTCTCACACATGCCTTGGAAATTTATCCTACGATTTCACATCTATTTTGAAACTTGTTGGACAAGGGTCGAGTTTGTTTCAGCCTATACTTAGTTAAGAACTATGATTTCAAAGGGCCCTATGTGCATCTGGCTCAAAACTATGATTACAGCCAGTGCGTTTAGCCGTGTCCCCGTACCCAACCTTTTACAAATTTGTTGCGACATGTACCCATACCCCCTACCCGTACCTGTATCCATGCAACTTAGGTGGCGATTAACATACAACTAAGTTAGGAATAAAACAATAGTAATTAAGAACAGGACCCTTGATTATTGACAGTGGCATTAGAACTCATGTCAATATGGGAACATGGTGTCATATTGATATTTTGTGCATAAATCTACCAGCTTAGAGATAGATTAGCAAACGCTATTGATGTACAAGCATTATTATGCACAAAGGCGACATTGCAGTAATATATCATGAAACATTGTCATGACGGACATCAACTATTCCTTCTACAGTCTCAATGAACTAGCTAGCATGCTCGAATTGAACAAAAACCCTAACTGATTTTTGACTAAAAGCACAATCTTAAGAAAGATGTGGTACAATGTACCTTAGCTTTAGGTATAATCTTAACAGCAACAACCTCCCCCTTGAGTTCCCCTTTCTTCACCTTCGCAGAGCTCGTATGCCCGAAATGCCCTCTCCCCACTTCACTCACAATCTCATACTTCGCCCCAAAATTCTTCCCGAATCCAAAACTCTTATCCAAAGCCCTCGCCCTCTCCTCCTCCTCTTCCGCTATCGTCCCCTCCTTCGCTTTGCGCCCTGCCTCTTCAAAAGAGCGCGCTTTATATGCTTCGCGGAGAAGGCGGCGGAGAAGGCCGCCGGAGATTCTGCAAGAATCTCCGAGGCGTCCTGACGGCGACGCGCGAAACTCCCGCAGCAGCGGGCTGGCAGAGGCCGACGGGGTGCCCGCGGGGTACGGGCTCGCCATCTGCGGTGGCGGTGCGGCGGGAAGGGCGGGATGTCGCCGGAGTGCGGGAGTCGTCGGCTCGATCGGCGTCGCCGCGTCGTCGAGGACGGCGATGTTGCTTGCCTGGGCAAGCTGGCCCATCCGGTGTCAAAAATGGGATCTTTTTGAGATCGGATGGGGTCAAAGGGAGGGCATTGGGAGCTGAGGGGAGAGGAAATTTGAGGGGTTTGATTACCGAATCAAAGTTTTTAATAAACAAATCGTTGAAATTTTTTAAATATATATATAAAATAAAAGGTAAAACAGGAAGAAAGTAAAAGGGGTAAGGTTGGAAATTTCGTGTATATACGCTTTGAATGTGTTTTGTTTTATTAATGGGATTCAGACGGTGGACAGCTGAGATTACTGATTTGATTTGCGAGGGGATCGTATTAGGAAAATAACAACTGTTACTGAGGTAAATTGCACATAACCCCCTTCATGTTTATCACACTCAACGCCTCTCAGCTCATTAGCTAGTATTTAAGGCCCCCTAAATTAGAGAGATGAACTGTCAATATCTTCTTCACCCAGGAGGAGCAAGCTCTGACAAATAAACTGAGGGGTGTTTTAGCGCAGCTAAAGATAGGAAAACACCTTGAGGACCCAAAATATGGGACCAATGGAGAGGACAGGTGAGGTGTCCTCTCCCTATTGCATAATGAGTTGGTATGGCCAACTCATTATGCAATAGGAAGGGGACACCTCACATGTCCTCTCCATTGGTCCCATATTTTGGGTCCTCGTAGCAGCACTCATAAAGATATGGATGACGTGATCCTCCGCAATTTACATCTATTATTATAGGAAATAATATGTTGGTGAGAATTTAAAAACGAGGAGGGTGCTAACAAAATAGGTTGCAGGTTGTGCCCCTGCCCCCTGGCCAAAAAGGAAAAGGTGTATTAATGGCG